GCAATAAAGGCTGTGCTTGCTTTTCTCTGCACCACAAAGCCCAGATGGCCAGCTGGGTATGCAGATAAAGCTCTGAATTTCCTAAAAAGGCATCTCAGCTAGTGCTGTCTGCATGCTGGGACACTTAGGGAGGAATCCTTCCCAAATCCTTCCCTAGGACAATAGGTCTTTACACTGCTCTCTGCCTGTGCGTATTCCTCACTCCCACAATAGCCCAGTGTGATTAATCAGTGTTGCTCCTGCAGCCAAAGGTGTGGGGAGCAGAAGGGAAGGAGAGAAAGGGAATTATACTGCAGTTCCAAACAGTACCAAATCTCGCATTAAACATCTAGACAATACATTCCATTCTTGAGCAGTGTTTGAAAAATAACAGATTTTTCTTTTTTCTTTTTTTTAATTCTTACTGATTAAAGTGGAATCTGCAGTTTATTTGTTTTGTAGTGGTTTTTTTTTTTTTTTTTCTCCAAGGTACATCAACTGCGTAAGAGAACATTTCACCATAAAGAACAGGCTGATTCACTGCATTTCTCCTGAGTACAGATTGACTTCTCCCACGCAGTCTTCATAAATTAAGAAAGAAAGATGAAAAGCCCCACAATATACGTTTGTGATTGTTCCTGGATTAAAGTAGTTAAGTTGGTTCTCAAGTCTCCACTCTTTATCTTTAACACAAAACACAACGAACAAATAAAACCTAAATACTTAAATGCTTAAAGTAGCTGTCAAGCCATGGCACAATTTAAATAGGAGATGCAATGAGTCCAGCATCAGAGATTCACCTTCCTTTCGTAGAGCTTGAGGCTACTAAGAACCTTCATGTCTTGGGATTTGTTCCTCAGCTCTTATACAAAGACATGGGAAAGTGAGACTGTGCTACACTTCCACGTTCAAGTGGACTGACCACTGATCAGCTTTAACTTACTAACTTCTCTCAAACAAGAGTTTAACTGTCTGTGAAAATGAAAACAAGGTTACCCACAAAAAAATCCAGTCTCCTAAATGCAATTACCAATCTGCAAGAACAAGAGAAGCAGAAGACTGGGCGTCCATTCCAATAGTAAAGCTTTTTTTCCCTTCCCAACGTTTGCTTTTTCTACACAGTGTATATTCAGTACAGGAAAACAGCTTGTAAATGTAAAACTTGCCTGAGATGAGATTTGGTTCCATATTTCAGAAAGTGAAACGTCAGAAGTAATTCATTCAGGAGGTGGCAGGAACCCTCCAGGGTGGTTCAGCCCTTAGTTAGAGTAATAAATAAATAATCCCATAAGCTTTTTGTATTTTTTAACTACAGGCAACATGAGAAGGTTACCAGAAAGTTGCCACTGCAGGCACACAGTGCATCCTTTCCTGGTTTCTTTAGTAAATTGCAATATTCTGTAGTAAACTGCGCTATGATTCTGTCAACAATCATTTTGAATAATTTCTTGAGACTTAAAAATATTCAATTCTGTTTCTCTTCTATAGAAAAATATAGTGGAAGGAAAACATAAGTTCATAACAAAATCTAACTTTCTTAATCATACAAGGGAAGGCTGTCTGCATTAGAGTAGTCTACACTACTCATTCAAGTCTGGTGAGCTTTTTACTAGGGAAGAGAAGAAATGTCATTACCTTTTCAGCTTGTAATGGCACACATGCTAGGGAGAGGGATACATAACCAGCAAATGTTGATACAACTGCAAAAACATAATTGTTGAGATCAAGACTTTTGAGATGAAATTCCCACAGTTTTTAACAAGGAACAAGGTTCAAGGCCTCATCTTGTGAAACTACAAAGATTCTAATAATCAGATTGTCAGTAGGAATAGAGCCTCAAAATATTTTGAACAATCTTTGCAAATACGGAACTTTTAGCAAGGGAAAAAGATCTCCTGTTCATCTTTGCTTCTGCCATGAGCAGGGGACACATGGGCAATTTCTAGAAATAATAGAAACTAAGATTTGGGTTTGTTGAGTTCAGTCCCAACAGGCAGCGAGGAAAGAGAAGGAATGTCTTCTAACTTTTCTTTCCTTCCTTCAAGATTTTCAGTTTTTCCTGTCCAGTTCCCTGCTCCTTTTTCTTTTTTTCTTTTTTCTTTTTCTTTTTTTTCCTCCTCTACCCACTTGACCCAGAGAAACTTTGCTCCTTTAATCTGGGTAGGATTGGCAAAGAGAATCATTGGAAATACAGCCTTTTCATTTGCAGTTTTAGAGCCAAGGAAATATCTGTAGGGAAAGTTGCTCCAAGGAAGAACATGTGCTTGCTGCTCTGTGAGAGAAGTTCAATTAGGGAGGGAGCTGGTGGAGAGCAGTAAATATAGACAATGAACAGAGAGCACAGATGACCAATCTTGGTAATTTTTTGCCGAAAAAAATCCAACCTATTGATCTCATTCTCCCCAGTAAAGCAATATCTTACTACACAGATTCATTCTAGTTGATATTTAATATGCTTTTTACTTTCTGTTTATTGTGCCTCTGCCATAGTCAGCACTTAAAATTTATGGCATCCCTGATGCAGCTCTTCAACAATTTTCATTTCCACTGTATTGTTTTGCATGGAAAAAAACATTAAGAACTCTAGAACAGACACTAGCCTACTCTTTGCTTAGAAGCTGAAAATCCAATCTTGTTAGGTGTTCTTATTTAATTAATAATGTACTTTTAGAGATGAGTATAAATTAAAAGTGAATACTTAAGAAGTGAAAACTTAAGAAGCAGGAAGTGGAAAAATTAATTTTGACCCCATGGGAAAGTATTTTTAAATATGTTTTGCACTGCTGTTTAGGAAATCTTTTAGAAAATGGACTACCTTGTTCAGTGGTATACTGTAATTTACTGAACAGTACTGATATTTATCTTTTCTTTACACTGGCTTTCACTGTGATGTTTATGTCTTTTCCTTAGATGTAGAACCTACCTTCAGCCTTTAAAATCATAGAGGTTGTTAAATTCTGAGACTTGAGCATCCCCAGGAACCAAGATTCTGAGCAACTTATTCCAATATTTGACAAAGTATTTTTCTCAAATGTAATCCACGGTCAAATATATACATATATATATATAGCAGCAGATGAACAGAAAATCCTGACACTAAAAGCAAAGTAAAGTAAGTAATGCTGTACTTTTTTCCTGTATTACATGAACAGCTTGCATGGCACAACTAATAACAGAAAAGACTTTATAGTTCACTAACATCTCCAATGAAGCACCCATTTCAGTATGCATGTATTTTTCCCAACAGAAAATAATGAGATTCTGCAATGGCCTTCAGCAGTATTTCTGTACTGTGAGATCAAAGTAACTTCTTGTTATGATGAGAAGAACTGATTCTTGTGAATCTAAAGCATCCACACATCCACAATGATATCAGTATCACAATCTAGTCTATTAAAATTAGTCCAAGATAGGCTGTTCAAATCACAAGTCTATACCAGCAGTGGAGTAAACTGAGAGCATAGTTTTGTGATCATTTTGCTAAAGAACAGTACCATCTTGCAGTCAGTCCACAGGGAGCTGAGATGTTGAGATTTCTAGCTCTCTAGCTATATTGCTACCTCACACCTCAAGGTTCCTTCAAGTTTCCTCAGTTTTCATACTTTTTTTTTTTTTTTTATTAGATGTGGAATTTAGCTATGATTTAATTCATCTTTCAAAAGAGTGTTTTTCTTTTTTCACTACTTTCTGTAGCATATTTCTGAGAAGATACCAAGTGATTTTCAGAGGCTGACCACAGCAGAATTACTGCAGGTCATGTTTGAATGAACTCCGTTTTCCGGTTGTACTGAATGTTTGTCACTTCCATAAGCTTCAGCTGGTGATGAGGACAATTTGCAACCAAATATTGGATTTTAAGACTAGAATTCTTCTGGTCCCACACTGATACCTGTAAGCTGATACTTATGATCAGTGCCCATTTGAAGAGCTTTGGGCTCCAGAAAATCTGTGGAAGGGTCAGAATCCATCATTCCTGATTTTCTGTCCAGTCGCACAGAATCCATTTTCCACTCTTCCTCTTCATTTATTTTACAAAGCCTCCAATTTGAACTCATCTTTCATCCATGATTGCTGACATCTGTTATCCTTTCATAAGTATACCATGTCTACCATAACCAAAGACATTGATCTGTATTGTCCTACGTGGCAAGTAGAAGGTCTTCTCAAGGTCAAACTGACAAGACCATCAATTATGAAAGACCAAAAATAAAGATGAGCTTTATATAGCAAATAGGATTTATTTGGATATCAACTATCACCTCAAAATAGCAGAAGGCATGGTTGCTGAGAGAAAGAGATACAAATATAGTTTAGAAACTTTATATAGTTTTATAAATAACCAGATAAATTTATATATAGACAGTTATTAAATAGGTTTGTCACTATAAGGAACTCTATTTTTCTCTCCATATAGAGAGTCACATTTGTGAGACTACGAATTAGTATGAGGTATTCAGAAAATGTGATTGACCTTATCTGAAGCACTTTTATTGCTCATTAGAATGCTGGGCTTTAGTGATTTACGTGGCCTTCCCAAATGTGGCACATAAGCTTTCCAAGTTTTCATTATCACAACACAGTTAAGCATGTTGTATGTGTAGTCCTTACTGTTTGAGTAATGGTTGTTATTTTCACTGAAATAAATATATTCACACATCAAATTACTTGTAAGTGAACAAAAATATCTTGATCAACTAAGCCAAATTCCAAAAAGTGTTTAACCTCACTAAAGTAAAGCAAAAAGTATGCCCTCTAAAATTCCTTATTTGGTATCCTTGAGATAACAGAGCCGACAGACTACTGGGTAAAAGACCTGTTGTACAATGCAAATACATTCAATGAAAAGTGATATATTTATATTTTTCAAAAATAAAAAGAAGCAGAGTAAAACATTTGTTGAACAGCAAAACAAATATGATTTTTATTTTTTTTTTTCAAAATGAAAAGAAAAACAACAGCTTGAAAATAGAAGTAATACAATGTGAACAGTAACACCTTTCTTTTTATTGGGTGTTAACAATCTACTTTGTATTAAGAGGAATCTCATCAGACTAACACTGTTTAAGAAACTTTTCATTTGGATGGAGGTTGAGACCAAGAGGGGTACAATTCTTAAAGAAATGTAGTATCTCAGTATTGCAGCTACTCACAAGACAAGTGACAAAAACTGCCACTGACTTGGTGGGAACTGATTCAGTTTTGAGAAATTTTAGGGAACAAATCTCTGACCGATATTGGTGGTTCTGAGTAAGGACATTTTCTATTTTCAGTCTGACTGAGAGTGGACCTAAGCACATTTTGAACACAATAGTACAGTTTCTCACATCAATATTCTTCATATTGCCAAAACAGGTGGAAATAAATAGTAGGAAATGTCCCAGGTGTCGTTTTTTAAAAAAATGTTCTGACAGATGAGTGTTATTTCCCATAGCATGTAGTTTCCCTGTTTGTAGATAGGAAGCTATGAGCAATCAAAAATAAGATAAGCTTTATGTTATATTACTGTCTGTGTGTATGTTACAGAAATAGAAACATCATAAATAAGAAGTGTGTATGATAATCTGTGTCAGGACTCCTGTACGCATTATAAAGCAAGAGAAGAAGGGGAGATGAAAGCAATCTTAAACTGTTAATGCCACAGTAGAATCTAGCATCATTAGAATAGGACTTTAAGAAAGATCTCACTCCAACACATCAACAGACCTAAGAAATAACAAGGGTGGAAACCATCATTAATTTTTTTTGTTATTTTTTACTCAAAGTGTAATGAACTATTTTCAAATACAGTAATTGTTTGAGATAATTCACTCCAGATCATCCCAGAGGAAAAGCAGACTCACAGAAAGAAAGTGAACATATTAGAATTTCACCAGTCTGGAGATACCCTTCAGGCTGACCCAGAGCACTACCTGTTCTTTTCTAAAATAGGGTCAAATAATAGGCCTGATACTTCTGAGTGGAGTGGCCTTTCTGCTCAATGAAAGCAATCCTGAGCTGTTTGCTTGACACTCTTATTGACTCAAAAGTTTTCAGTTGTGGATTTTTTTGTGCAAATGTAATGAAGATGCTATCACTGATGGTGATGCTACCAAAGTACTTTCCAAACTGACTGGTTGAGATCTTGTAAAAAAAGTGGCTTTTTACTGTCTCTGATGAGTCTGAAGTAAGAAGAACAGAGTGGGGGGGAAAAAAGAAAAAAGAAAAAAAAAGAAAAAAAGAAAAGAAACCCTAAATTTAATAATGTTAATCTGGATTACTCTTTGTTTCACTTTCTAAACTGTTATACCATTTTTGCTGTTCACATTTGTATCTAAATATGTTGTTCATTCTCTTGCTCCAGGAAACCTTTAGAAATTGCTATGCAATTTCTTCACCGTTGATACAGTGAACTCATCTGGGCATGACCTCCATTACAAATGGAAAGAAGGGGACAGAGAATGTGTGAGAAAGTGTGGATTCAGAATCTTACTCACTTCTTTCTGTTTCCTGCACTGACGGCATCCAATCTTTCTGAAAAAGGGAAACATGAAGTTTAAGTCTACACAAGGAACACTATGATTGTCAGATCTGAATCCCTGGAAAACACAGCATCTCATCCAAGGAACTGCTACACAGCCTCGTGCCTCCATGTACCACCAATCACTTGCCAGTGCTGTGTCATAAAGCTGAAGCCTGTGGCAGAAGAACAAATGCCACATTTTGCTTTTTTTTTTTTCAGAGTTCAATTAACTAAGACCAGCAATCACATAAGACCCCGAAAGTAACTCGGATTTTGTTGAACAGGACTCCAGAAGGGCCAAAAAAAGTAGATAAGGGCAAAACAAATACATGCTTGCCTTCCTGATCTGGGTTGGCTAAAGGCGCTGGAGCAGAGTATGTTGGATGTTTAAGTTAGTTGTGTTATCTTTGGGGAGTAACATCATCGTTGCAAATACAGCTCAGGTAAACAGAGATTCAGGTTGTTCTCTGTTCCCCTCAGAGAGAAGAAGAAGCTCTTGATCGCCGAGGTTGGCTGCTTCGGAGCCGCCCTGGGCAGAAGCACAGCGACTGAACGCAAAATACACGGCAGTTTCGGCCGGTCCCCACATCCAGGGCGCCCGGGATAACGGAGCAGCCCGGCAGCTCTCGCGAGAGCGGCTGACGTGGCGTGAGCGTTGCCAAGGCGACGGCGGGAGATTTGAACGGGCACAAACCCAGAAGAAACCCTTGATCACCGAGGTTGGCTGCTTCGGAGCTGTCCCGGGCAGAACCGTAGCGAATGATCGCGAGGTACAGGGGGGATTTCGGTCGGTTCCCTCATCCAGGGAGCCCCGAGATAACGGAGCAGCCTGGCAGCTCTAGCGAGAGCAGCTGGCGTGAGCGTTGCCAGGACAACGGCTCTGCATCCACGCCCCTTGCCTGGAAAAAGCAGCGATTGCTGCTCACCGGGACGGGGAGGAGGAGTCAGGGTGTGCGAATTACGTGGGCCGGTCAAACGTGGAGAAACCGTAAGCCACCCATTTACGGGACTACACAGTGAGAAAGGTTGTTATTAATGTAAAGAGAGTAAGAAGTGCGGGGGCACCTGTTAACAGCCTGGTAATGGGGCAAGGGTGGTGTCAGCATTGCTGGCAGCAGGGCAGGGCTGATCAGTCACACCCTGTTAAGGCTACCTGAACAGTGCTAATGAGTCTGCTGGGTGAAACACTGGCTGGATGGCTGGGCCCAAAGAGTCGTGCTCAGTGGAATTAAGTCCATTTGGTGGCTGGCCATGAGTGGTGTCCCCCAGGGCTTGGTGCTGTGGCTACTTCTATTTAACTTCTTTATTAATGATCTTGACAAGGAGATTGAGTACGCCATCAGTAAGCTTGCAGATAACACCAAGCTGGGAGGGAGCATTGTTCTGCCAGAGGGACTGGACAGACTGGATCAATGGCCCTGGGTAAACAGTATGAGTTTCATTAGGGCCAAGTGTTGGGTCCTGCATTTTGGTCACAGCAACCTCAGGCAACCCTACAGCCTTGGGGTGTGGCTGGAAAGCTGCTTGATGGCAAGGGACTTTGGTGTACTGATGGACAGTTGGCTGAATATGAGCCAGCAGTGTGCCCAGGATCCTGGCTTGGGTTAGGAATGGTGTAGTGAACAAGAGTAGGGAAAATCCTGCCCCTATACTCAACATCGGTGAGGCCTCACCTCGAGCATTGTTTCAGTTTTGTGCACCTCAGTACGAAAAAGAAATTGAGGTGCTGGAGCAGGTCCAAAGAAGGGCAACAAGGTTTGTGAAGGGCTTGGAGAATATGCCCTATGAGGAGCAACTCAAGGAACTGGGGCTGTTTAGTCTGGGGAAAAGGAGGCTGAGGGGAGACCTTATTGTTCTCTTCCAATATCTGAAAGGTGATTGCAGAGACAGTGGGATTGGTTTCTTCTCACTGATGACAAGTGACAGGACAAGGGGAAATGGTCTTAAGTTGTGCCAGGGGAGGTTTAGGTTGGATATCAGGAAAAACTTATTTACAGAAAGGGTTGTTAAGTACTGGAATAGGCTCCCCAGGGAGGTGGTTGAGTCACCATCCCTGGATGCGTTTAAAAACCATTTGGATGTGGTTCTCAGGGACGTGATTTGGCAGTGGGTTGTTAGTTAGGGTTGTGGTTGGACTTGATGATCTTGAAGGTCTTTTCTAACCTGAGTGATTCTGTCTGTGAGAGACTGGCTGGCATCTAAAGGTTTAAATTACACATCTGATTTCCTTTTAGCAGGAATTATCGAATTATACAACACCTTCCATTTGCAGCTGTGAACATTTTCCTTTGCGATGGTTTAGTAGATAAAAAAGAAATCAGGATTTCCTGACATTTTAAAATCTTAAAATATACTTTCATTTCACTTCCAAAAAGTTATGAAATATCTCCATGTGCAGCATATGCTTTTTGAAAGTGGAGCCACAGTCTAAAAGTCAAAGGAACATTATTATGTGGGAAGCCTTACATACTCACTAAGCAAATCTCCATACCTAGGAACGCATGTCTCATTTTTTACATCTAGAAGAAGAAAAGATTGTAAATATAAGCCTATTAGATCTTGATACCATCCACAGTATATTATAAAAGAAAGTTCAAGAGATGAGTAATTGGATTATGTTCTCTACTGGTAATTTATATAGCATCCTTTCCATAGCATAGAAGCATGTTAAATATTTTATAAAACTGAGCTCACTGCATATATTCTTAGAGAAGGACATAACATGGCATGTGATCAGAAAATATTTAAAATACTACTGTGAATAGCCACTGAAAAAGCTTGAGCTCATGCTTGACTTAAGAATGTTGCTTTCATTATGACTAATTTATTTTTGGGTCACCTGTTTTCCAAAAGGCCTGCAGAAACATTCTACATCTGATTTTTTTTTTTTTTTTTGAAGTAATGTCTATGGGTAAGTTTCCTCAAAAAACTCCAAGGTCTCTAATACAGCCACATGTTTCTTTTCTTTATGCAATGATTATTCTTTGTCTCCTTCTGCCATGCAGAGAAAGAAAGGTTTTATTTTAAGATTTTATTTCCAGACTTCTGGAAGCTGATGTGATTCTGTTTAGTCACTCTAGGGAATGATCTCAGTTACATAATGTTTGCTTCTCGTCTCACAGGACACTAATCTCAGGTTTGGAAGCATACCTGATATGGTTGAGGAGAACCTGCCACTTCTCTCACACAGTAGTGCAACAACATAATAAAAGGGAGGGCCTTTTGTTATATAGTCATAGCGCTGTCTAATTTGTGAATATATTCTTTCCTATGCTCAGTTGCTCTCTAGCAGGAAAAGGCACAAACTTTTGGGGCTTTTCCATCTTTTCTTTTACTGATTACAATTCTGTTGCTATGCACACGATGGGAAATATCCTGACTTAGCACTATACTAGCTAATTCAGGTACAGGTTGCAGAGAAAATGTTAATGACAATTAAAAACTGACAAATTATAATAAGCAAATTATATGTGTGTAGTTAGGTTTTGCTGAGCTCCATACTGTTACCATCCTACTGACTGTAGGCTATATATCTTAAAATTAATTTTGTTGTATCTGTAATCTATAAACATTATAGCTTAATGGAATATAGGTGGCTGTTGTTTGGAATCACATTTTGGATCAAAAAAGAGTAATTTAACAGGGAAAACTGTGTCACCATATGTTCAGAGCAAAGATAATGCAAACCACTACAAAGATTTTTATTCCTTGTCAAGGCAAGAATGGGAAATTGTAATGGATCTTTGTTCACAGCTGATTTTATAACCTATCATATTAAATGGCATCACATTCACATGACCTGGCTTTATGTAACAGAGTTATAATAGCTCAACTGACTGAGCACAGAACCTGCATTTTGCTATAGAGGTTAATGTTTAGTCCAACCCAATATTAACTATTCTGAGCAGGTTTTAAATTTTCTTGTTTCTGTGAAATTAAATGTAGATTTCTTCACATTAAAAGGATCTATACACCAAAGTGACCCTCTAATTAAGGCCATGCTGATATTGGCTCCTGGAGCGTTGTTTTAATATTTCTATTTTTAGCTATATTTAGTAAATAAGATCTTTGAATCTCTCTGTCAGTACCGCATAATAACTGCTTAATTAGTTAGCCAGTTACAATAAGATATGACAAAAAGTAAAGTCTCAAAGATATCATGTTCCTGTACATTTTGTAAAGACTGAGGGCTAGAGAGTAGAGAAGGACCCAGATTGGTGCCAGTAAGGATGGAGCTTGGTCTCAGCCACAAGTGATCAAACTTGCCCTGCTAAAGCACCCATCAGCTCTCCTTTACAAAAAGTCAGTTTGTGGATAGGTCTAAAACCACAACAGCAAGTACTTTTGCCTGATGTGACAGACAAACAGATACCCCTATTGTAGTGCAGGGCCCAAAGGTCCTGAACACAGTAATCAAGTTGCAGTCTCACTAGCACTGTGTACAAGGGGGCAGTCACTTCCCTAACCCTGCTGGCCACAGTATTTCTGATTCTAGACAATCTGACATTGTTGGCCTTTTTGGTAACCTGAGCCCACTGTTGGCTCGTGCTCAGCCAGCTGTCAACCAGCACCTCTAGATCCATTTCTGCCAGACTTAGCAGCCTCTCTTCCCCAAGCCCATACTGCTGTATGGGATTGTTGGGACAGAAGTGCAGCACCCAGCACTGAGTCTTTTTGGTGGCCATGGGACTGGACATGACTCACAGATCTGGCCTATCTAAATCCTTCTGAGGATCCTTCCTACCCTCAAGTATATCAGCAATGTTGACTAAATTAGTATCATCCACAGGCTTACTGAGAAAGAACTCAGTATATTATTGTTCACATTGAATAAAAAGGTTACGCAAAAGTAGCTGCAATGCAGAGCCCTGGGGAATGCAACTGGTGAATGTTTACCCAGAGAACTGTACATCTGTCCCAGCTATGAGAAGCCTGTTTCTCCAGGAGAATACCATGAGAAATGGTGTTGAATGCCTTACTAAAACTGAGACAGACAACACAGCCTTTTCCTCACTTTTTTTTTTTTTTCCCCACGAATCTCTCGTGGAATTTTTGCAGCATACATTAGCTCAACAAACTCTGTTCACATTGATACACTGTCTTTGGATGACCACAGGAACTGCACTAGTTCAGTCTTTAATCATTTTCACATGCTTAGTGTTCTTCCAGGGTCTCCTGGTCAAAAATGCTGCATCACTGCACGTCTTTATCCTCACAGTTTAATAAGTAAATACAAGTGAACACTGAAAATTAAGGTAGGTTTAAAAGGGATGATTTTCCCTACCATATTTTTTCAAGACAATGCTCAGACTAAGTTTCATTCTGAATGATTAAATAGTTACGTGCATGATCCACACAGTAGGTTGGACATCAAGTGACATTAAGGCCTTATCACTGAGGCATAATATTATTAATATGTGCAGAACATGATGTCTGACAGAGAACATTAACCACAGTTAGAGAGTCTGAGAGGCTTTTCAGAGAGAAGTATTTTAACAAATGTTCTTATTGACCATAAAAGAATACTAAAGTGAAAAATAAGTCTGGGCACTCAAGTCAATGAGAAAAGGATTTTTTAAAAGTGCAAAAAGGTCTAAATCTACCATTTTGCTCACATTATATGGCAAAGTACATGCATATAAATTGAAAACTTTACATATTCTAAATGTTAACCTCAGTTATCAGTAGCTGCTTGGATCTAGTAAAGCACATTTTCTTCTCATAGGTGCTCTTGACTTAACATTCACTGTCAGTAACAAACATACCTAAAACCTTGGAAAGAGCTCCAGGCCAAACAAAGGGCTGCATTCATGTCCATCAGACATACCTTTCCCCTCTTGCTTTAAAAACCCTACTAGAAAACAAATTATGAAAAGGAGAGAGAGAAAGAAAAAAAAAGGTTGAAATAGAGGGAGAAGGACCAATGAAAGCTGGTCAGGTCATCTGATACTGCATGCAACATTTTCTTTCTTTTCTGGTCTCACATGAGTAATCTTTAGAATTTGGAGTTTAGGTAGCACAAGTTGTCTAACAAAAGTACAGTTACTTATGAATAATTTGGATTTCAATGTGTATGTGAAGAAAATGGCTCATTGCAAGGCTTTTTGTACTAAAGCCATCTGTGACTCAGTATCATCAAGCATGATATTGGGTCATTGTGTAAAAGCAGCAGTGCATGAAGGGCCATGGAAATGGCATATGAAAAGACACTTCAGGATGCCCTGTAAAGTTCTTGGAAATGGTAATCATATGGTGTTTGAGGAACAGTGATTTGTTTACACATCCGGCTGGTACTGGAATCAGATGTCTCTTCCATAACTATAGTTTAGTGAGATTTTAGTGCAGTGTACAGATGCTATTAGTGCAAGTCTTTTACTTGGGTATGAGAAAGATATGAGTCATGCAGCCTTTACAAAAGAGAGTAGATGAGCTGTTGATGATACACTTACGTTTATGCTGTGTATGTGATACGTATCCCAGTTTAAAAAAAAAAAAAAAAAAAGCTGATTTGGCATGGTAGAGTGCCCTTAAATACTATGTTGTACAGTTTTTCATAGTTGTGTCTGCCCATTAGCTTTCATAGATGAATTCTGTAGCCCATTAAAATCACATATAACACTCAATGATTTCTGTATCTCCAAATTTAATCCTGTAAGTTCTTAAGCATTGCAGAGATATTAAACAGATTTGAAACCTGAAATAGATTTTCTACACAAAAAGAATAATTTGCATATAAATAAATATTGTCTCCTTCTTCCATAGCCTCTTTCACATGAATTTGAAGAATGCAGTGAGACTGCATAAATATATTCATGAAAGTTTGACTGCAGATTATATAAAGATTCCTCCATTTTGACATAAATCAAATTAATCCTCTTTGAATCTTCACTGAAATGATGATGCTAGGCTAAATAAATCTCTTTGAATTCTCATTAACCGTTAGTACAGCAGATTCTTTGACTGGTTTATTAGCATGCTTGGTGGCATATGCTTAAAAAGGAGGAAAAAAAAGAGAAGAACTATACAACTTAATGCAGAATAGAACAAAGATGTAGATTTCAGCCTTTGCCTTTTACATATTGCAAAGTACATAGAATAATGATATAACTTCAGCTGCACATAAAGCTCTTCTGAATTGCCATTCAAATTGTTTCTTAACTTTAACATAGTATAAATTAATCAGTCAGTTGCATATAGATTTTCACTGTTCAAACACAAAACTACAGAGAAAGAAAGCTTTAAAATATCTACAGTATAAGGTTAACAAAACAGATATCAAATAAATTCCCTACTTTGTAATGGCAAAACATGCTAATTCAGCTCCAATGTTTCTTAGAAAGTAGAACAGTGAAAAAAAGAAAAAAAGATTAAAACAGGCCTTTTTTTCCTATGAAAATCTCAGTGATGATGGTCCTGTTCCCTGTCAGTCACACAGATAGGCTATAGCTATTACCTACTAAAGAAAATATGTAATCTGGATAAAGCACTGCTATATTTAATAGTCAGTCATCCACTGTCAAAACATATAACTTGATGAAATACTACTCTGTTTAACAGAATTCAGAAGAAATAAATGTTTCAAGATTTCAAAGAAAACTGAACGACGATCATCAGCCATTTTACATGTTATGCACCAGCAACACCAGAGCTGCACAAAGCTCTTTTCATTCTGTTTCCATGATCTAATAGTGCTCCACAGAACAAGTTCATTTCCTTGTCTTGTGTCAAAGGAGGGTGGGATTTCTGAGAGGTTCCCATTTACACAAAGGCCCTGCACAGCCTAAATTAGTACATACAATTGGATGTGATGGGGTTCAGCCTGTTAGGCAGAGCCACAGGCATCAAACTCTCTGGTTGCTGTTTTAGGAGAACAGGATACTGTATTATTTAATCCATCATTAAATATGTTCCATGTTAAGTATAATGCCTACTGTCATGTTTCTCGAATTTCACAAGCTAATCAAAGTAGCTGCTTCTTATTACATAACTATACTGCAGTGTAATCCTAAAGGCAACTTCAGGATGTTTCTTACAGCTTCCCATTATTTATGTAACATCCCAGAAAATTGCTCCAAAGTCATGTCTAAAGAAGGGGAAGATTTATCAGCTCCTCTCAGCCCAAATGGAGGAAAACTTCTCATTGTACGTGTATCTCCACAGAAAACATGAATCCCTAAAATTCACATGGCAGATAAACTTGTGTTGTTTCTCTTAATAGTATATTGAAAAACTGTTGCTATTGTTTTCTTTTTGTGATAACCAGAAGACTCCCCGTCCTCCCTGTTCACAAGAGTGATGCCATAAATGATCTTCTTTGATGGGGTTGGCATCCAGCTCCTTTTCCTTCTGGGGATGCATGTTCTTGTTAAGCTGCTTCTGTCCACTCCTACTTCAAACACGTTTTGTGCTAGTTACATTGGAAGCTGCGATAAGAATCCTAGAATAACTGGATAAAAGTTTTATTTCACAGATTGTTCCATTCCAAATAGATTCTGAAAATTATCTAATAGAGGAGTTCATTTCTTCTTCTCCTTTCTTTTTTGTCCTTAGGGAAAAGTGAGAAACAGCTGCCGCACCTAGGGGAACTGTAAGCAGTGCATCAGGCCTCGTGGAAACAAAAAGGAAGCAGTAGATCATCTCAGCAAGAGCAGTAAGTTTTGGCGTCTTTCTTTGACACCACCCCCGCTATCCCAGCCTCCTCTGCCCCTCCCACACTCACACATCTAAAAAGCAGATGGAAAATATTCTGCCAGAAGACATTGAAACACAGTGTTAGAAAGTTACTCTCTTTAGGCTGGGGAAAGTGATAGAGAACTCTGGCAGGCAAATTAAGTTATTCATAGTCAATGGCATTTTGGAAGGAAAAGCAGGAAGGAAGTAGGAGAAGTTATAGGGATTGTACAAGAACCATCTGGGACATTAGAAACAGATGCTCTTCAGCTAGCTACACTTCAGAGGGAGACCGGTGTGGCTAATACTGGGTGAAGGAGGCATTACTGGCCTTCCCAGTTTGTTTTCAGAGCTGAGCATACTCTAACACTGCCATGACATTAGGAATATAACATTGTCACTGTTGCAAAATATAAATTCCACAAACAGATTTTATTTTCCCTAATGGCAATGATGCTCAGATCCTGAAGGTCCTTATTTTACCCAATTTCATGTTTTTTTATACATCCTAGAAAGTCTATGAGACCCTGCTCTCACAAGAACGAAGCTCTTTACAGTCAAAATGAAAGGTATCTTTTTTGATATGACTGCATTGCATATTTTGGAAAAATAGAATATCCTCAGTTGGGAAGGACCCATAAGGATCATTGAGTCCAAATCCTAACTCAATACAGGAGCAGCCAAATTGCAAACTATATGTCTGGGAGCATTACCCAAACACTCCTTGAACTCAAGGCTCAGGGCAATGACTATTGTCCTGTGAAGATTGTGCCAGGGCCCAACCACTCTCTAGTGAGGAACCTTACCCTACCAGCCAACCTGACCCTTCCTTTGGGCCTTGTTGCTGTCAGAGAGCTCAGCGTTGCCCTCTGCTCCCTGTGAGAAGCTGCAGCCACCATGAGGCCCTCACTCCTGTGCTCTGAGCTGAGCAAACCTAGGGACTCCAGCCATTTTATAACAACTTATAGAAATTAATCCAATTCCATCCTCTAACTCTTGCACAGGAAAAGAAGGAAGAATGAAGAACGATGTGCGAGGGAAAACGGATGCAGCAATGTTCTTGTGAACATACTGAGATACCATGGTGACAAGCACAGGAGGTCAACCTGGAAAGGGTATTTTCCTTTCTGTTATTTCTTTTGAGTTTTAGACATATGATGTAGGCAAATATCTAATGTATTTTCCATTAATTAACAAATTCTACCATGTATGTTTTATACCAAAGATAAAATAGAGATTGAATTTGTCCACATGAATATATAGATGTACAGAGGTGTACAGACATAGATAGATACTAGAAAAATCAGGCAAAAGCATCTCTTCTTTCCATCCTATCACCAATATTTTGAATTTGATTCCATTAACAGTCATATTTTTACTGCCCAGAATTATAATGGACTAGCATTGTACTTAGAGCAGAATAAATACAAAAATCAACACTGTACAAAATTCATCAGAAGCATTTACATTTATATCTTCCATCTCTGTTTCCAAAAACAGTACAATCTGCTATGGGTTCTTCACTTTCTTGTCCAGCTTATGGAAATAAATTATACGACACATGTTGTAGAAATATTCCAAGCACTGTAATTTTCCCATTATTGCAGTTTCACATTGCAGGAAAATAACTTTTTCTTGGAATTTACAGATAAAATAGCACCTGCTACAGTAACCTAAGGACTTGAAGGAATTGTTACACAATTAATCCTTTTGATTCTTATTGTAGAAATCAGTGAAGTGCATCAGTATCCTGCGGCATGTTGTCTCACATTGTTTTCAGCATGCAAATTTTTTAGACCAGGGATCAGACTTTTGGATATAAATCACCTGGGAAATATAGTATAACAATGAAAAGAAAGAAAGAATGAAAAATAATAAAAAAGAAAATAGTAACCAACATAAAGAACCAGAAAGGAATCAGTATGGAAAAGATAAATGGATGTCAGAAGGAATGTTAGGCATGTCTGCCTGTGTGCAGTGACTAGATCTCTTGTTTAAACTTTTTTTTTTTTTTTTTTTACTTCCTAAGTTTTTGCCTGAGGCACACCAAATTTTTCTCCTGACTGACTGTAATAAATGTATTTGTCTTGAATGTGTGTTTTTCTTGAGCAAGCAGCATACACATGCAGCCCAGAAGACCAACTGAATCCTTGGCTGCATCAAGAGAAGAATGGCTAGCAGGGAGAGCAGGTAACTCCCCCTCCACTCTGCCCTCATGAGACCTAATTTGGAGTACTGTGTCCAGGCCTGGGGCCTTCAAACCTGGAAGGGTATGAAACAGTTGGAGTGGGTCCTGAGAAGGGCCATGAAGATGATCAGAGGGCTGAAGCGCCTCTCTGACAAAGAAAAGTTGAGGGAGCTGGGCTTGTTCAGCCTGGAGAAGAGAATCTCCTTGCAGTCTTCCTGTACTTAAAAGAAGCTTGTAATCAGGAGGGGACCAAATTTTTACATAGTTTGATAGTGATAGTAGTGGGAATGATTTTAAACTAAAAGAGGGGAGATTTACGTTAGATGTTAGAGAAATTTTTTACTGAGAGGGTGATGAGGTGCTGGCACAGGCTGCCTAGAGAAGCTGTGAATGCCCCATCCCTGGAGGTGTTCAAGGCCAGGTTGGATGGGGAACTGGGCAGTCTGATCTAATGCTTGATGTAGTGGTTGGCTACCCTGCCCACGTCAGGGGGTTGGAACAGGATGATCTTTAAAGTTTTTTCCAATCCAAATGGTTCTACGATGCTATGATACGTGGCATAACCCAGGAAAGCCATTGAAATCATCATTCCAAAATGGTGTTCCATTAACATGAAATACTGAAAAGCATTTTTTGTTGTCTATTGCTAATTTGCACAAATAATTAAATAAATAAATGCACAAATAAAAACAACAGAACAGAATCTCTAAAAACTGCCTAAAATACATCTTATCAGTATACATTTAATACAAATCCTAAATAAACATTTTGTGTAGGAAAAAATAATACATTTAACACTAAAAAATTACTAAGTCCGCAAGGATTTGAAGTAAGATTAGTTTTGTCATGTGAATGCAATTAGATATTAATATAGGAGTAAACATCCTAATATTCTTTTTAGATGAGTACTTGGGAAATGGAAGTCACATTTTTTAATTTTTTTTTAATGAAACTTTAATTGCTTGCCTGTCCATTCTATTAAAACAATTTTAGTGCTTACACGTATAGGAGACACGCAGTATGCAAGCCCAGTTAGAGGCTGAATTACAGTTACATTATGTGATTAGTAGAAGGTATTTATAAATCCTATTAATTCTTAATCTGTATGCACATCCAGTGTTACTGACAATTCATGCTTGGAGCTTGTGAAGCAGTCTTTCATCATGTATTTATGCTAGAACATGGCTGCCATTCTCTGTGCAGAGAACACTCCAAAGTCAATCTTTAAACATGTTAACATTATTCTCCTTCCCTCAAAAATGTAATTTTCAGCTAACTAGCATAAATTGCTTACAATGTTTGCAGTAGCATTATTTTGTGTAGGGGTGAACAGAAACATCTGGGTAGATTTCCCAGCTAGACTTCATCCAAAGGGGATAAAAAGGACAGATCTGTGCTTTTGCTTTCCATTTACCAAAACTAGTTATTTTCAAAATCTTTCCCATGAGAGATAAGAAGAAATTCTGCCAAGCTGTGACAGGAAGATTGGCCTCCAGGGAAAGAACTTTGGGAGATGGTGCTCAAGATAAAGCTAGACAAAAAGTCTGTTGAGGATTGAAGGAAAAAATTGCTCAGGGCAAAAAGACAGGATAAGCAGATGGTCCATGTGCTTAGGATGCCCAGAGCAGGTGCTTGTAGTAGGGGCTGAGTAAGAATTTCTACTTGAACGCCTCTTCTTACATCACACCAAGCAGTCTCATAAACACTAACATATTTTTTATTACATGGACGGCAGAAGGCAGCAGCCCCATTCCAGACAGCACCAACCCCACAACGTCACGGACACATTATCAGAGGCAGTCACCAGCTCCAGAAACCACCCTATACTATCAAAGCCATGTCACAAGAACACAAAATTGGGGTGGCTGCGTTCCAGAATGAACTTGGCGTCATAGCAACCTGGAATGAAAACCAGAAGGGAAGCGAGCAAGAGATCACCACCAGGATACAAGAGTAAGCAAGGACTGTGGCGGATAAAAGAAGACGATGAAGATGGATGGAAGCTGCTGCTCCCCTGCCTCACACTTAAACACAGGCAAAAGCATAGCAAGATAGGGACACAGCAGGATATCAAAACACTCCTGTACTTACTCGCTTTTCTCTCCTAAAAAGAGGGCCACGCACCCCACAATAGGTAAGTAACAACCATATTAAAATCCACGTTAATCGTACCATGCAAGGTAAAAAAAAAAAAAAAAAAAAAAAAACTTCAGTTACAAAAAAAAGGATAAGCACTGGTTTGCAGAGTCTCTGCCCCAGAAAGGGTGCTGACACTGGACATACAGAATGTAGAAGAAAATTAAAACAACAGCAATAGAAATGGCTGAAGAGCCACGAAAGGGAGGGCAGCACAGAAATGCAGGGCACTTGGTCACTCCTTCATTCCTTCCCATCTGCCTTGCAGATGGGCATCTCCACAAGATGGAGCCCGAGTAAGAAACACGCCTATCCTCAGCCCTTTGAGAGGTCAATATGCTCCACACAGAAAAAATATGTCAGAAAAACCTATAAGAATTCTAGATATAAGGGACCCTTGTAGATCCCCAAGATGTCCCTGCCCTCACCCCACTGTTTCATAACACACTGGTGATCC